TTCTATGAGATAATTCAGATAGGTACTTGAAAATAATTTGACATACAGCATATGTTTGAGGTGTAGATGGTTTCAATTTTACAATATTCATTTTTTTGCACAGATATGTGATGCCGGAAGCAGCAGGAACGGAAATCCAAGTGATGGACGACGACGAGCTCTACGTGTCCCTGGTGTTCGGACTCAATTCCTACTTCGGGGCCCGGGTGGAGGCCGAGGGGTTCTTCCTGAACAACGCCATGGCCAACTTCTTCCCGGCCGGAAGTGACACGGGTTCCGACTCGGACGCCGTGAAAAATGCCAACGTCATGGAACCCAATAAGCGGCCGTTGTCACTCGGGGCACCCGTCGTCGTGGTTTCGTCGTCACACATGTGCAAAACCCGGCTGGTTGCTGGCTCACCCAAGTTCGACATTTCGGCACAAGTGCGTAAGATGATTCGGGAAAAATTTTCCGCCATTACGTCGGATTTTATTTTATTTTTGTGAGATTGTAGTATGTTCTGTGTCACCGTTCCCTTTTTTGCGTGCTGCTGATTTGTCCTTGAAACTTTGCAATATTTAACTTTTCATCAGGCAGCATTCATGCAACCCTAGGCCTCGATGAACCCCGGTGAAGTTTTTTGAGTGAAATAAAAGGTTCTAGACTTTTTTTTTTTATAGAATATTCATCATTCGTCAATTCGTCAATCTTATTCTCGTTATTGTTCACTTTCTTTCTAACTAAAACGCCCAAGTTTTTATAAGACTGGTTTATGCAATATAAATTTGGCATGTTCTAATTGGAAATATATAAAAACTCGTAGACTTTTATTAAAACTTTAAAAGTGTTCTAAAATCTTTGGTTTTAGATTATGTCAAAAGATGAATGTTCTCATGAATATTTCCAGAATTGCTACAACCTCATTAGATTTTCATGCAAATTGCATTTATGTGCAGTTGAACGGAAACTGTATATTTTATATGTTAAATTCATTTACCCAAGAACCAAAAGTGGATCATCAGGGTACTGAAAAATAAAGCAGAAATTCAAATGGATAAAGCTGAAATTGCAAAAAGCTTTTAGGCAGTGAACAGTACTCATTTGTGTGAACTTGTGATTTAAAATTGCAGTATTTAGAAAATAGCAGTTCATCTCTCAGCTGGTATATTGCAAATGCCCATGCACCAGCCAAGAAGGGCATTCTCATCTAAAATTTGACCCAATTCTCTCCAAAAATTCCTTTTCTTCATGAAAAAGTCAGTCAAAAGAAGTATTATTTTTACAACTCGGTGAAAATTTTAATAGTCACCTGATTTCATTCAAAACTTGCCCAAAAGAACAAATTTCTTGAAACATGTCCAGATTTTGGCAAGAATCTGGGAAAGGGATGACTTTTGGATGAAAAAAGAAAACTTCTGTCTCATTTAGATGGATTGAAATTCCTCCATTTTATTCCAGAATCTTCTCTAATCTCTTGAACGGCATTTACAATCCCTTCTAATGTTTTGAAGCATATTGTTATAAGATCATTCCAGAATTAAAATATTCGAATGAACAGGTAATTGCTCGTTATTTGGCTCTGGGCAGTCCTTTGGCTGACAGTATCCACGCTCCAAGACTCCACCTGGGGGCTGAATTCGGAACCAGAGATTATTTAATGGTCCGGGACCTACCCTGGTTGGTTCGACCGGTTGAAGGCAGGTGGTGACACCTACGGGACCTCCGTTTTCCCTAGAGTAAAAGTCAGGATTCTCCCGGTATACACAGAACGCTACGTAATCAGTTCATTCAAGATTCCGTTGACGGTCAGGCAGACCCAAGAACCAATGCTTTAGTCACGTTCTATTAATCAATTTTCGAAATATTTCCCCAATATGTTTCCTCCAATTTCCTAGTTTGTGTTTTTAAAACTCTATTACAAAATAAATTTATGAATTAACGAGTTTTGATTAAACATATGAGGATTTCAAATTGGCATGCGTTTTAAATACCCGCTCAAAAAAACTAAGCTTATCACTGAAGTCTGGCATCTTTTTTCGAAGTTTTCGTCTTAATTTTCTATGGATATTTTGGCTTGACACATGAAAATGAAACCAAATTCATTTGTTGCGCTCAGAAGGAGAACGAAAATTTTTTTAAAATTGGAAATAAATTTGACCAGTGCTCAGAATTAAAATTGTTTCAATTTGTCCATATTCAAATACAGTACAAAAAATTAAACTCAACTCAAACTTTCACACAATAAAACAAATTAATGCTTTAATGTTTAATACTGTATTTTATTTTCTTGCCACGAGTCCACAACGTCATTCAAAATTCATTAAATGGAACTTCAAATTGGGTTTTTTCAGGATTTTAATTGCCGCCAGCCCCCAGTTTATCATTATAGGGCGTTTGAAAATGTTGTTTGTATGATAAAGGTGTCCTGAATTGAAGAATAAAGTTACCTGAAATGGAAAAAAAAACATTTGGCCGATAAATTAAAGCACTTGACACCTATTTTATAACTTTTAAAGTTGTTGGCTGAGTAAACATTTTCAGGCACCAACAGGTTTTAGATTTTTGCCAGGTCGAGGTTTTAGATGGTGGCCAGGTTTTTTGCTCTGTTTTTCCCCGATCAAAATCTGCTCGTAGATATGCTGCCGACGATGACACGTGAAAGCGGCGTGATTCCCGTCGAATAGGACCTGTCCCGGGTTGCGGGTTGCGCAGGCAAGACAGCAGAAGAATCGAGGGTAAACGTCCGTGCTCCGACCGTCTGGGTTCTGGAATTCGAACCCAAAGCTCGTGACACGTGGCATCAGGTGTCCCAATCAATAACCAACAAGAAAACATTTTCTGCGTAAGTCCGTATTCCATAATGCTGATAATCAAACTTAATATTCAAAGAACACAAGGTTTAAAAGAATTTCCTCCCATACAACAACAACAAAAATCACATGCAGGCACATGTTGCTGAAAGTGAATACCAAGGTTTCTTTTTGTTCTTGTTCTCTCTTGTATTGTGATGCTTGAAGTTTATTCATTTATTTTTCATTTGTGGCTCTCATGCACTCAAAACTGGTTCGTATTTCTCGAACACGCGAAAGATAGAATTTTAAAATGAATGCTGCTCCAAAGCATTTCAATTTCATTTCCTTAACCCTTGGGCAGCAGTGCCGGGATTTTTCAGGAAAACTTTTTCGCCACAAGGAGTAAAAACAAAGACAAGAAAGAGAAAACAAGAATGATTTGAAGGGGCAAATTTTGGAAAATTCAAAATTTTTTTAGCCGTCTTCAGAAAAATGTTCAAAAAAAGTTACTGTTGGGTGGCACTTTTTGAGGGATCATCAGAACAATGGTTTTTCTTGCAGGGTTATCTCCAACTTTGCTAACTTGGCCAAAGCTGTGTTTTGGTGACATTTGGTCAAACCAAAATGCAGAAGTCTGCAGAAAAAGGGTGTAGTCCAAAAGACCCCCCTGCCAAAAGCCCCCCTAGGTTCAAAAATGGAGGATTACAGGTATTCTTGTAACTCTTGATGGTAAGCTGCACCTTTCACCAGCAGGCCCAGCACAAGTCCAAGTACCAATATGTTGGTAAGTTGAGTATATGAAGGGACTCTTCACCTGCAATGGTCATCAGTGATTCTTTGAATTTCAAAGCATCATCATTTGCTGACTTCTGCAAAATCTACAGTTCACCTTGTTGGTCCAATGCCTGGTGCACTTCAGATCATCAATAATCAGAAGGTCGGTCAAATTGCATACTACAATGGCTATTTAGAAGTAAATCACATGGAGAGCATCAGTAACAGTGAGGAAGAGGCAGCAGANAGGCCCTGGATGGGACCAACCAAGCTGGCCAACTTCCGTCCACCACTGTGGATGCCCTGGAGGCAAAAGGGATCTCATTTTCAGTCCTAAGAGGGCCATATGTGTCTTGCGATGCATTAGTCAAGTACCAAGATTCCGTTGACGGTCAGGCAGACCCAAGAACCAATGCTTTAGTCACGTTCTATTAATCAATTTTCGAAATATTTCCCCAATATGTTTCCTCCAATTTCCTAATTTGTGTTTTTAAAACTCTATTACAAAATAAATTTATGAATTAACGAGTTTTGATTAAACATATATGAGGATTTCAAATTGGCATGCGTTTTAAATACCCGCTCAAAAAAACTAAGCTTATCACTGAAGTCTGGCATCTTTTTTCGAATTTTTCGTCTTAATTTTCTATGGATATTTTGGCTTGACACATGAAAATGAAACCAAATTCATTTGTTGCGCTCAGAAGGAGAACGAAAAAATTTTTTTTATTTGTAAATAAATTTGACCAGTGCTCAGAATTAAAATTGTTTTAATTTGTCCATATCCAAATACAGTACACAAAAATTAAACTCAACTCAAACTTTCCCACAATAAAACAAATTAATGCTTTGGGTTTTCAACAATGCGGAAAGGGAAAAGACGCACATGGGGGAGGGAATTGATGTGTTGTTTTAATATTTAATACTGTATTTTATTTTCTTGCCACGAGTCCCCAACGCCATTCAAAATTAATCAAATGGAACTTCAAATCGGGTTTTTACAGGATTTTAACTGCCGCCAGCACCCAGTTAATCATTAGGGCGTTTGAAAATGTTGTTTGTGTGATGAAAGTGTCCTGAATTGAAGAATAAGTTTACGTGAAATGGAAAAAAAAAAACATTTGGCCGATAAATTAAAGCACTTGACACCTATTTTATAACTTTTAAAGTTGTTGGCTGAGTAAACATTTTCAGGCACCAACAGGTTTTAGATTTTTGCCAGGTCGAGGTTTTAGATGGTGGCCAGGTTTTTTGCTCTGTTTTTCCCCGATCAAAATCTGCTCGTAGATATGCTGCCGACGATGACACGTGAAAGCGGCGTGATTCCCGTCGAATAGGACCTGTCCCGGGTTGCGGGTTGCGCAGGCAAGACAGCAGAAGAATCGAGGGTAAACGTCCGTGCTCCGACCGTCTGGGTTCTGGAATTCGAACCCAAAGCTCGTGACACGTGGCATCAGGTGTCCCAATCAATAACCAACAAGAAAACATTTTCTGCGTAAGTCCGTATTCCATAATGCTGATAATCAAACTTAATATTCAAAGAACACAAGGTTTAAAAGAATTTCCTCCCATACAACAACAACAAAAATCACATGCAGGCACATGTTGCTGAAAGTGAATACCAAGGTTTCTTTTTGTTCTTGTTCTCTCTTGTAAAGTATTGTGATGCTTGAAGTTTATTCATTTATTTTTTATTTTTCCATTTGTGGCTCTCATGCACTCAAAACTGGTTCGTATTTCTCGAACACGCGAAAGATAGAATTTTAAAATGAATGCTGCTCCAAAGCATTTCAATTTCATTTCCTTAACCCTTGGGCAGCAGTGCCGGGATTTTCAGGAAAACTTTTTCGCCACAAGGAGTAAAAACAAAGACAAGAAAGAGAAAACAAGAATGATTTGAAGGGGCAAATTTTGGAAAATTCAAAATTTTTTTAGCCGTCTTCAGAAAAATGTTCAAAAAAAGTTACTGTTGGGTGGCACTTTTTCTGCATTCCTGCCATAGGATTAGCATTGAGGGATCATCAGAACAATGGTTTTGCAGGGTTATCTCCAACTTTGCTAACTTGGCCAAAGCTGTGTTTTGGTGACATTTGGTCAAACCAAAATGCAGAAGTCTGCAGAAAAAGGGTGTAGTCCAAAAGCCCCCCCTGCCAAAAGCCCCCCCTGCCAAAAGCCCCCCATTGAGTATATGAAGGGACTCTTCACCTGCAATGGTCATCAGTGATTCTTTGAATTTCAAAGCATCATCATTTGCTGACTTCTGCAAAATCTACAGTTCACCTTGTTGGTCCAATGCCTGGTGCACTTCAGATCATCAATAATCAGAAGGGCGGTCAAATTGCATACTACAATGGCTATTTAGAAGAAAATCACATGGAGAGCATCAGTAACAGTGAGGAAGAGGCAGCAGAAGGCAATTTTGAAGATGATTATTGAACTCCTTTTTAGGACTATTGAAACCAGAAAGCCCTTCTCAGGGCCACCAAGCACTATTATGAAACTTGCATCCAATTATAAAAAAGTGGTGGGGGGGGGGGCTTTTCGCAGGGGGGCTTTTGACCTAGGGGGCTTTAGTCAGGGGGGGACTTTCCAGGGGGCTTTTGACCTTGGGGGGCTTTTGGAAGGGGGCTTTTGGTTGGGTACTGCAGAAAAATCCCAGAACTGCTGCATAATGCAAAAGGACCCACCGCTGTCCAAGGGTTAAAAACAAATGATAAAAACACTTTTGGCTCAATATATTTTCCATCCATTTTCATTTTTGTTACTTAATTTCACTTCATCCATTCCTTTTTTCTCATCAGTTGGCATTGAAATATCTACATGTTTTGATAAGTTGACTTGAAATTAGTTCAAATAATTACTATTGTGTAACTCTAGTGTTTGTTTTGGTTCAGTTAAATTATTAGCCAGTTTTTTAGACAATGGGATGATTCACCAAGATAATAGGCAGTAAAAATGCATTAATATGTATGCCTGAACGTATAGTAATTTGTTTCCTGTCAAAGAGGTCAATTTTTTTACTGGCCTCATTTTCTTACAAAAATTTTGGTACGCTGTTCATTGGAAAAATAATGTGCAGCAGATTTTAGTCCATTTTCCGAGACAAAAAAATGAAGGTGTGCTGCTTAAATCACGCGTAATCTGAATGATAAAGCGTGGTGAAATCAATAGTTGGTAAGTTCATGGATAAAAATAAAAGTCATCCACACGAGGGTTCAAGGTTTTATCTCTCTCTCCCTCCTCAATATACTCTCGATGTGAAGTGTTTTTTTTTCAAGGCGGAAAGTGAATTGCAGTCTCCACTTCGTCGTCCATTTCTTTCTTTTTCTGGGCATATTCCTGTGAATATATTGGACCAGCGCGTATCTTGGCCAAGGAAGCCACCGTTTATTTTCATTTTTTGTTCGTTTGTTTGTATTTTTCCCGCGGTAGTTGTGTCCTACTATATTTGTGTGTGACCTGGGAAGTTACCTGAGCTTTGTTTCTCTGCTCTTTTTTGTTATCTTATCTATGGTCTTCCGCATACAGTATACTGTATAGGATGTTTGTTCCGCTGTCTCACTATTATACGCTGGCTTGCTTTTCGACGCCTCGTTTCTTGAAGGAACGTGGAACCGGCGCAGTCGCAAACGTGGTCCGGCCGAGGGAATCGAAGTCAGTGGAATATTTTTTTGGTGTGAATCATCCCTGAATATTTTTCTTTTTCATCTACATTGCTGTTTTTTTGAAGTGGACTGAGTGACGATTTTTCGAGTGGAAAAAAACAGTGAATTTGAAATGCAATAATTCAGACGCACCTCATGCGATTTTGTTAGGAGAGATTTTGGACTTATTCTAAAAAACATTTTTCTAAACTGGGTACGAATTCAGGCAAAATTCGTGTTTAAATTGAAAATTTTTTATGTTTTATTTTCGAGATGTTATAATTCTTCAGTCACTGAATGTGGTGTGTGTGATTCTTTAGATGGAAAATATTGGACCCATTTTAAAAATGGAAACAAATCCAGGTTGAAGTCACGTCAAAATTTTATTTTTTATGCATGGCACTGTATTTTCAAAAAATATTGCTATTCTTCAATCACTGAAATTCAGGTGTGACGCTTAGTTGCAGAAAATGGTTCATTCAAATTTTAGGTTGAAAGGTCTGGGTAAATGTCTTTTGTCATGGGTCCATTGGATCCCTGACAAAGGAATTGAATTGTGCAGTCATCACAATGCAAGTTTTGAATAAGAACTCAAACTCATTTCAGAGGAGTTCATTCTCATTTCCCAGTTCATCAATTGGCTGTTAATTCAATGGTTGTAATGGCAGAGTCATTGGTTAGTTCAGAATATTGAATGAGGTAATTTAAAGTTAAAAGGCCCTTTAACACTAGGTTTTGACTTCCCCTCTCAAAGAGGAATGAGGGTTTTTATAACCAGGTGCTTGGACTGGGTCAGGAAGAAATCAGGTGATTTCTTCCTGGCTCAGGATTGGCAGATTTAGGCAAAATTGAAAAAGTGGAAACCACTTCTTGTCCTTGAGTGAGGCTCAGTGGTTTCAGCCGGATGCTGGAGCTGCGTCACTTTGTGCCGCAACATCTACATGCCTAAATTACACAAAAATGGCTTAATTTAAAAAAAATTAAAATAGCTTTTCAAACAAGGTTCTATCATGGTAAGAGCTTGAGAAGTTAATAAAAGGGCTATGGAATACTTGAGTGTAAATACGGTTTGTGCAGTAAACTCTATTGATGAAATTAATTTATGACGTGATGATGTATTTTGAAAATGGTATTGTCTTAATGGAATCAATATTCAGGTGTAATCAAAATGCTAAAATAGGAAGAAGTCGTGAAACGGTGGGAGGGAAAGACAAAAGTATTGCGGAATACGGATTTTTCGTACTGAATATCAGCATTCCTGACTTTATTTTTTACGTGTTTTTTGCCAGCTTTGAAAAGAGCAGGATTCGAAGGAGAATTTGGATTTTTGTTTCACGCTTTTGGGAATGCTTGTGTTTATTTTTTCAGTCGAATTCTGGAATGAATTTTCAGGGCCGACTTCGTTTGGGCGAATCTAAGTGGAACGAAGTGCGAGAAATCCTTGGGAGTGGCTTACACCTATTGTGTGGTACTGGGGAGGGATCAAAGCTTTCAATGCTTTTCGACTTGAAAAATATCAACTATTTTGACCTCTAACGTCGTTCAAACGACGAGGTCAACTGCTGATGCAGCTGAAAGGATATGCTGGTGTCACTTCTCAGTGTGGTACAGCACCCAGGTCAGCTGCCGGGTTTGTTTATGTGCGGGCGGTGGGAAAAGGGTTCTTGTGCAATATGCTTTACGGTTAGGTTGCATTCTCCAGTCTAGACGATGGTGGGTTGCATCATGAATTTGAATAATGGGGTTTCCTCGTGTGCAGTCTCGTGAGTGTGACTTCCGGGAATAACCATGTCGGTGAAAATATGTTTCGGTGAGAACATGATGCGTGGTTGACCAAGTTTTCCGCAGAGTGCATGAGAAAAATGCAGTTGAGAGAAAGGTGAGCAATTTTTTGCGGTATTTCTGGGACAATTTGCTGAAAAACCTTCAACGAGAACCTATAATTCGTCGGAAACTCATTCTCGAATATTTTTGGCGATTACATAATTTTTCATTTGCATTTTCAAAGTCATTTTTAAAACTGAGTTGTGAAGTGCTTCAATTTTTCAACTACGTGTAAATTCGAAGACGTCCGTGATTTCAATTTATATTTACAATTTTGCCCATAATTATCTTGTGAAAGAAAAATTGGGTGTGTTCCTTCGCCCCTGATGAATGTGTATCCAATGCACAAGAATCCCAGTGAAAGTCAGATACGTGTTTTTAAAATACTGTTTATTTATTCATTACTTTAATCAGTTTATATACCCGTATATATATTTTTTTACTCATGATGACGCAAAATGAATGTGGAAAATTCATGAGAGAAGTTAGTGCAGGCCAAATATTCTTTCTGAATTCATAATTTTGTTTTCAAACTTTGAAATTTTCGGAAATAGTTTTTCTTCCGTAATTTTCTGTCTTTCTGAACTCTTAAACGATATTCTACAGGATGAAGAGAAATATCTTGACTGTAACATCTCTAGAAAAAATCAGTGGTCTAAAAACTGAATCATGTTGGTAATGGCGTAATTGACACACCTAATCAGCAATAATTTGCACAAATATTTAATTTAGGAATACAAACATTGGAAAGCTTAAACATTTGTTTTTTTATAGTTGAAACTTTGAAACGCTAAGACAAGTACACATGTTGCTATGCCCCATATTATTGATTTGAAAATAACCCTAAGAAGAGAAACCACGAATTAGCTTTTTCTGGAAAATAAACTGAAGTAAATTTATGGAAATATTTTGTTTGCTGTTATGTCCATGATATCAGCTCAATTTGTTCAAGAGATTTAATTATAACAAATCTATTTTTTTCTTATCTGGAAATTTTAAAGAGATGTTCATTATCTTGAGGCACACACTGTCCAGATGTTGGGGAAATTTTTTTTTTCAAATTTCTAGTATCGATGAAACAAATTGCCTGCCTGTTAGGGGATCCGTGTGTCTGGGATCAACACTACACCTTTCAGAAAAAGTTTCTTTGAATTGTTACTCAGATCACCTCCCTTATTCTCTTGAAAATATATTTTTGAAAGGGGAATTTTTACCCTGAAAAGAATGGGTGCAGTCAGAACTCTTCTATTTCCTCTCTCTATTTAGAAGCGTGTAAGTTAAACTTGGCACAAATGCTTAGACATGGTTGAGCAATGCTCCAAAATGAACATCATTCAACTGTTGAACTTAACTTATTTCATCCCAATGTATATTTCTGTAAAAAAAAAGCCTTTAAAAGCCTTCTTTCAATGGATCCTCATAATCATCAGAACGTTTTTGATGAGCAGTGGATGAGTTAAACTTCAATTGCTACCTATGAAGAAAGCAGTCCTGGTAAGACAAATGTAGCATGAATAACTTCACATATTAACCCTTGGGTGGTAGTCCTGGGATTCATTCACAACATTTTGTGCCAAGAGTAAAAAAAAAAAAAAAAAAAAATGATTAGAAGAGCCAAGATTCGGGTAAATCCCAAATTTCTTCACATTCCGGCAGAAAAAAATTTTGTCTTAAAAAGAAAAGTTACTTTTGGTTTTTATTTGTTCTGCTTTCTTGCCATAGGATTAGTATTGAGGGATTTTCAGGGCAATGGCTTTCCATATCCTGAATTTGTTTCCAACTTTGGCTACTCAGCTGAAGCTGCATTTCTGTGACCTTCGGTGAAACCAATGCATCACTCAAGCTTAAAAAAAAATCATTGCACTGCCACTCAAAAAAAAGAACCCGCCGCCGCCCAAGGCTTAAAAGTTAATGCTCTGTATTTTTATTTTCATTCATTTTTTTGTGGTACCACAAAAAGTGCTATGAACCCAGGTTCCCCAACAGCAGCAGCAGCAGCTTCCACACGTGCTGATCCCAGAGCGGTTCAAAAAAAGCCGTCTCTAACGGAACCCAACAAGTTCAAGCGCCACGTGCTGGCCTTGGACGTCGGCACTTCCTCCATCCGATGCTTTGTGGTGGACGACAAGGGCGCCATTGTGGGTGGCGCCCGGGAACCCATCCGGGTTCTAAGCCCCGGTCCGGGCTTGGAAGAAATCGACCCGGACCACGTGTGGCAGGATTCCGTGCGCGTGGTGAAGATGGCGCTGGCGGATGCACGCCTAGCGCCATCTGACGTCCGAGGTCTCGGAATTTCTGTTCAACGTGGCACGTTCACCACGTGGGACAAGAAAACTGGCAAGGTGTTTCATAATTTCGTCACTTGGCGGGATTTGCGGGCTGCACAACTCGCTGATAGTGCCAATAAATCTGCGACTCTCAGGGTATGTTCAACGATGATTTTTGTCCGTCCAATTAATCTTAGTTCCATGATAAAAAAAAAGACAATGAAGTGCAGTACGCTAGAATTTATAATTAAGTCTCTCAAAATGAGTTGTTTTTTCGGGAGTTACAATTTTATTTTCATTTTACATAAGCAGTCGTGTAACCAATTTTTTTCTGTTTTTTTTTGTAATTGGTCGCACTTTTAGACCGCTGGTAATAATAAATATGTTTTGTTTACAGACGCGTCAACACTGTAAATTTCACTCATATTGAATTCCAATAGAAAAAAATTCACGCTTTGAGCTCAAAGAAAGCAGGTACTACAGTACAGTACTTGAATTTTTTTGCAGGCTGTCAAATGTGGAGGAACATTGCTGCATTTTTTGACGAGAATGCCAAAGTTCATTGTTGCCTCCATCCTTCGATTCCGGTCAAACTTCGTGAGTGTTACTCCTTGTATTTTCTGGCAGTTTTAATTTATTTTTCTTAGAATATATGAGAGAATTTAAATTAATCAAACCTCAATTTGATTCTTTTTTTATTCGAACGGGAAACCAGGAGAAATGTGGGATGTTAATTTTGAATCGCAGACATCCGTGGTGCTGTCGTACATGCTGACGAACCACGTGGAACTGAGGAAAGCCGTCGCCGAAAAGAACGTTTGTTTTGGCACGATCGAGTCATTTCTGGTGTACCGATTGACCGGGGGAAAAGTGCACGCCATGGACTATTCGTGCGCATCAGCCACGGCCATGTTTGACCCTTTCCTCCTGAAATGGAGTGACCTGGTCTTGCAGATGCTGGGTGTGCCCAAGAGCATCTTCCCGGCGGTGTTGCCAACGGCGCATCGGTTCGGGTTCACCGACGAGTCCCTGTTTGGGGCTCCAATTCCCATCTGTTGCCTGGTAAGAACAGTACAGTAAAGTACTATTTTTGCTCAAGTACAACCGCATTGCAACCTTTTTTTGTTTTGTTTCGTTGCGAAATTAACCCTCCAGCGGTGGGGCTGGGATTTTTTATTTCGCAGTTGCACATCATCAGACACTTTGAAATTCTAAAAATACTTCACAGTCGGATAAATTATGCCTAATTTAGAAAATAATAATCACTAAAAGTCAGTCTCTAGGAAGGATGCGTGTGTCTCACTCACAGATTTTTTTGTGAGGTTTGAGGCAGTTTAAATGGGTTAGTGGTTTATCAAATCCACAACTGAAAATCGTAAATAAGATTGTATATATTGTAATTTCAGGAAGAATACTTGGAAAAAAGTTGATGCATTTTTCAAGAAAAATGTTTTTAGAAAGAAGAACTTGGAATGATTAACCTTTTTTCAACTTGAGTATGGTACTGAAAGTACTGTAATCTATGGGCTTTGTATTATTGAAGCTCTTGTAAATTTATTGCTCTGTATGATCTTCAGAAGTACACCTGCATTTCATCAAAATGGTATTTGTTATTTAATCCTGACCAGAAAGGGAACTCTTTCCAATTCAGTCCTTCTACTTTAGTAATTCCCTATATAATTTCAAACGATAAATTTTATGCTTGAAGATGAAATACAGTCGATCCCTGCACAATGGACTTCATTTGTGCAACAAACGAGTCTGTCATGTGAAAAGTCTGTTATGCAAATTCAGTTGGGAAGCAAGGGGAGACATGAGGGACTCATGTCCACTGGCAGCACTCCCTTTACTGACTGAAGTCTGTTAAGCGGATTTGTCTGTTATGCAAAAGGAAAAACTGTTCTGCAAAAAAATATGTGGTGCAGGAGGTCTGTTGTGCAAGGGTTGACTGTAATTGCCTGTGATCTTGAGCCAAATCATGTTATTGAAAGCAATTGAGCCATGTTCAAGTGACACGTTCACTTGTTTTTTTTTTTTTCTAGAGCCGTTTTCTAGACAACGTCATTTTTTTGTAAATACGTTGTAAAAAAAAACTATCTGCAGAAATATGATTTTCAGCTATTGCGTCATTGGATTCGTTGAAAACAGGTTTGAGCTATTCTCGACTTTATCTAATGCGTAGTTTGGAAATAAAATAAAATTGTTGTGTCATTCTCAACGCATACACGTGACAAAGAAAGCGCAACAATGCGTGTGATATGCTCCGATAAGAAAAATGAAAACACCGATGCAATATTATTGTTTACAATCCTCGTTAGTTGTTCTTGACAATTCCTTTCAATGGCGGTAGTCATTTAGAATTTTAGAATATCCAGGACCTTCAAGTCACGACCTCTTGGATTTTGTCAACGAACAAAATTGTCTCATTTCAAAGATAACTCGGAATTCCAGATTAGGCATGAAATCTCCGCAGCTTAAAATAGATTTTGCTAGATAATCTAAAATAAATTCAAGAATTATATCGTATTTGAAAATTACTGTACATCGATTATGGAATTTTTTCGGAAATTGGGACAAATTAAAAATTTATGCGATGTTTGAAAAAAAGCGTGATTCTTTTTTATTGGAGTGTCTCTTTTTGAATGATTTCAAAAAATCCGGTTTTCGGAATTCCAAGAAATAAAGAATGCAGTGCTTGAAACCTTCATTGCTGTTTCTTGGACTCTCTCTAAAATCTAATTTCAAGAGAGTTTACAGCAATTTTCCTTAATTTTAAAATGAATTTGAAAACTAATCGACCAAATGAATCCTTTACTGAATGTTCAAAATCCTGTCCTCATTCAAGAAGCGATCCGAGTTCCAAAATATCACCGATTTAAATTTTCGTAAATTGTTTTCTCTCTTCAAAAGCTAATTTTTTTCCCTAACTTTTTGAAAAATCTCTAACTCAGGTTTTTTTTGCTGGTCCCTTGAAGTTTGACTATGATGAATTTAGAACATTTTCAGGTGAATTAAGTGAATGAAAATTTGTCTACTACCGGTAAGATTCTGCTGCAGACATTCTCATCAATGCCACATGCTCTGTACTGTATAGATTTTTATTTTATTTTTTCAATGCTTCAGGTCGGCGATCAAACGGCGTCCCTTTTCGGGTCCTGTTCATTCTCCCCGGGCGACGTCAAACTCACCCTGGGCACCGGCGGGTTCATCAGTTGCAATACCGGCACGTTAGCGTACGCCAACCTCTCTGGCATCTACCCACTCTGTGCCTGGAAACTCGGCGAGTCAGAACCCGTCATCTACGCTGCAGAAGGTGGCAACTCTGACACGGGCACTGTCATTCAATGGGCAGTTCGAGCGGGTTTAGTGGCTAATCCTGGAGACACGGAGAGACTCGCGGAATCCGCGCCGGTGTCCACGTCTGAACGACTCTTTTTCGTGCCGGCGTTCAATGGACTCCACGCCCCGGGGCTGAGGGACTCGCAGGCTGCAGCCGGGTTCATTGGGTTGCTGCCGTACATGACGCAGGCGCATATGGTGAGGGCCGTGTTGGACAGTGTGGCCTACAGGTCGTATCAGTTGTGCTGTGCTATTCACGATGATTACGAGGCTCGAAGGGATCGACGACGTGGCAGGAACAGGCCGATCAAGTGAGTGCTGAAATTGGGTCAATTTATTATTATTTTTAAAAATCGCTTTTGTATTTTTTTTTCGACTTCACGAAAAAGAGTTTTATTACATCAACATTTCAGTTTGAAAAAAGGTCACTTAAATTCCACCAGGTTGCCAAGGCCTAAGTTTTGAAAAATCTGGGTACAGAAGATCCCATTGTCTCATGAAATCCCCAATTAATTGTTAATCTTATTCTGGGAATTCATGAAAAACACCACCCAGGGAGAAACTTTTTTTTTAGCCAAAATTTTCTGCTGGATTATGAAAAAAAAATATTGGACTCTTTCCTGACTTAGGCCTTTGTTCAAGAATCCCTTTTTTAAATTGCCAACCCTTGTTGGGTCAAACTTTCGTAAATATATCCTGATTTTGCGACACAAGGGCTAAGAGTTCAGGTGTAAAAGATTCTGTTGATCAATGATTTGAGGCATAATTGGAGTCATTGAATGTAATAATTTAGTGCACAAGCTGAACATGTTCAAGTCAAACTCAAGGATAATTTAAAAAATGACACTGGAGAAAATGTTTTGAGTTAGGTGGAAGCAATCTTTTTTTTTTTAGGAAAAGAAGGAAGAATTACTGGAAATTATTACTGGTGATATTCTGGAACTTGGACTGTTTTTTTAATAAGTTGACAGGAATGCCAAACTTTGAGGAAATGATTTACAGTATTTGCACAATTGTTCTTTCTTTTCCTTACAAAACACTTGAACTGACATTTTTGTGGGGGTTCTCTTTCTGTGTCAATAGAGTAATAGCCAAAATTCCTGCAGAAAATTCGCTTTAAACAGGTTTTGACGCCTTTTTTGTGACGCAGTTTCAAAGTTATTTCCAAAGAAAAATTCGACATAAGGGATGCATTTGACTTGAGGAGGTTTGAGTTACATCAAGGTTCAAAATTCATATTATTGACGCGTCTATTGATGACTAAATTTCTTTGTTGCGGAAGAAAACAGCTTTTTCCTCTGTATGCTGAATTTTATTTTGGCACCTTCAAAATTTTTAAAACTTCAGTTCTTCAGTCTAGCCAAAAAGAATTGTATTTTCGCTTCACTTGAGCTAAGATTTAGGTCACATTTTGATACTGCTTTGATGCAATTTTTTTTTTCGTGCAGAGTTGATGGTGGGGTCTCTCAAAATGGATACATAATGCAACTTTTGGCTGATCTCTGCGGAAGGAAATTGATTTGCAGCATGGATTATGAATCTGCTGCCCTGGGAACTGCATACATTGTGGGACTTCAGACGAGTAAGTCACTGAAATTTTAAATCTTTGTTTTGAATAAGTTGATTCAACAGAAAATACAGATTTCCTGGATTAATTCTGCATGAAATTCCGTATGAGCTTCAACAGTGCACAGAAAATTAAACTTTGCGCTCAAAAAAAGGTTGATGAAGATTGGTGATGAATTTATTCAAGTTTTTGTGTCAGAATTCCTCATCATTTTGTTTGGCCTCATCACAGTGAAAAACTGCAATTTTTTTCATTCGTGCAAAGCGATTACGCACGAAATTCAGACCACAATTTTGGCACACATTTCTCAAAGGAGTTCCACGTTGTGCTGACGACGACGTAATTTTGTTTTCTAACAAAATTTGCAGAGCTATGGGAGTCTGAAGAAGACCTGAAGAAATTCTACCGGCCCGGGAAAGTATATTTGCCGAATCCGTCGAATCGTGCGCAAGTTCAGCGCAATTTCCGCCGCTGGCAAGACGCAGTGTGTCGATTTGGCAGTTGGTACAGTGGAATTGAGCGTGAAGAAATGCTGCGTGTGCCGTCAGTGTCGACTAGCTTCGACATCGACACTGTGTCAGAGAATAACGACGGCAATCAAGAAAGCCCCTATCGACAGTTGCCAGTGTCGTCTTTGAGAAAACAATCGTCATCCGGGGACTCGTTGGCTTCCAAAGGCCAACAACTCAAGGATTTTTGCAAGGCTCTCAAACGCGGTGGTGAACGGGATTTCTGAAATATAAAATGATTCATTTTCCCATATTACCGTCCAAAATTTCATTTTTTGTGTCGTCGTTTCGAAAATTTTAATTCCGCGAAACGCCAGATTTCGACGACGGATGGGACGGGAAGTGCAAACAATAAACGAGTGTGTTTTTTTCTTTGTTGGGTGAAAGAAATGAAAAAAAAAGTTTTTATCTCGACTTGATTACTTCAATTTCTTGGCACGATGCTCTGTAATTACTTCGTTGCTGTTAAAAGGAAAGGTGACAAGTTTCCAGTAATTGCTGTCATACGATTATCTTGTGTTGGTAAATTCCTGCTTAGCTTCATTATTACTCGACTTTTGCGTTGGCTGTTGTTTAATTATGGACGAAGCTCCAATTAGTGGTAATTCTCTGGTCAAGTTCACTGAATTTGGTTTTCTTCTGTGCCTCGAGGCCATGGAAAGTGTGAGAATGAAAACCAGCATATGGTTGAGCTTTGCTTTTATTTGCGTTTACTTTGAGCTTTCTTTGGGATTTTTGGTTAGGTCGCCGAATTCTGTCTTGGTGGCTTGGACTGACCAAATTTCGGAGCCGGAAGTCGGTCATATCCGTGTTTCCGGACATGAAGATTGGCCTAATTTGAGTCTTGAGAACGATGGAAAATATTCCGTGAGTCGCTTACATTAATTCGAAAAATTAAGAGAATTCTGTATTGGACCAAAGACAATTTTATGCAGAAAATTTTTTTAGATAAACTGTTTTTAGGGAGTGTACCATATATGTAAAACATGAAAGTGAACCAGCAATGAGAAAGTTGATCAGTGATTTCTTCTTCTCTTTTGAATTTACAATTAATTTCCACTTCATTCCAGAAGAAATAAACACATTTGGTACAAAATATAATGTACTGTACTTCTGTACAGTCGACCCCCATCTAACGGACTTGATTTGTGCAAGGGACAAGTCTGTTAGACAAAAAGTCCTTTACACGAATTCAATTACATGAAAAATTAAAAATTTCAATTTTCAACACTAATTTTANACAAAAAGTCCTTTACATGAATTCAATTACATGAAATATTAAAAATTTCAATTTTCAACACTAATTTTAAACCAAAAAAAGTCTGTTTGGCGGATTTTGTCTGTTGGGTTGGAGGAAACACTGCTTGCAGAGCTGGTCTGTTTGGCAAAATTCCCTTACACGGGAGGTCTGTTAGGCAGGGGGCCACTGTACTATTTTCTTGAATTGTACCAATATCTACTGTATTTGTTTGAGTACTACCTGCACCTTTTCTCTCTAAATTGAGAAAGATAAAAAGGATTGTTCACCTTATAGATCAGGAAAATTTTTAAAAAATTTTAGAAGTCTAGGTGCATATATAGCAAACTTGATCACAGTATGTGAAATTTTAAAAATAAAAGCTTTTTTTTTAATCAAATATGAGAAATACTTGAATTTGAGTTGAATTCATGTTTAAATTGAAGTTCTGGTGTCTCTTTTGCTGTTGAAATATTTCAGATTTTCAGTACTTCATGAACAGTTTTGTAATTCTGACCTGGTTTTTCTATTCCAATGGATCCCAATAATGAATGATTCATGAATAATATCTCCCCCCATTTCAGGGTGTTTTAGTTTCCCTGTTAGACTTGCTGACAGAGAAACTAAACTTGACTTATTCCTGGGTGTACCGAGAACACTCAGCCCTGGAGGACTTGCGATTTGGAGGAGCAGATGCCCGCACTGGCGCCCCCTATGGGCTGTTTTCCCTACTCGCCAGGAATCGCACGGATCTGTTGCTAGGTGGCGCTCTGCTCAGCGTGTCACGTGCTCGGATTGCGGACTACGTTTACCCGCATTACGTAGCCAGGGTGCACTTGGTGGTACATGCGCCATCTGAGGTGCCACCGTGGCGCAAGTTGCTGACTTTGTTTGATGCTGCCACTTGGGTCTGTCTCGTGGTGGCCAGTGTGGCTTGCACTGGTGTGCTGGTGTTTGCTGCTGCCACTGGTGAGTATATGTGCGAAAATAAATGTTCGAATTTGAATTTTATTTGAATTTTCGCATGCTTATGTCAATTGAATTTGAGAAAAATCAAACCCCATTTGCTTAAATAAAGATGACTTGTTTGTTTGCTTATGAGGCACCCCAGCGTGATAATTATATAATTATTTCTGCAGGGAAGTCTCTGTATGACATGGTTGGTTCCGGTGCGATGCTGGTGTCGAGCGTCCTCAGCGAACAGCCCCTGGAATTCCTAGACAGGCGCCGAATCGCCGCCGCCACCGCCGCCGCTGCTGCTGCTGCTTCATCAACGCAAAACCCCGGCGTCCCATTATTGTCTGCTGCTGATGGACGCCGATCCGCGTTCTGGCGCAACGTGTCCATGTGGTTCATCCTCGGGGCGTCCCTGGCTTTGTGCACTGTCATCACGAGTCTGGGCAAGGCCAGCATCGTGTCGACGCTGCTGGAGGTGCGACACGACGCTGCCCTGGCGACCTTGCGTGACCCGGACGCATTCCGTCGCGCGGGTCGGGAATTGAGACTCCGAAATGGCACTGCGTACAGCGACATTGCCGCTGTGCTGCGTCTCAAGTATTCCTTCGTGGGCAACAACGACGATGATTGCAGGTGCTGCTGCTGCTGCTGATGATGATGATGATGGGGAAGAAAAAGGACATGGTCATTAAGAAATGCAAGAATAAGAGAATTTAAATCTTGTAGATTTTTTTTGTGCTGGAAAAAGATTTTTAAAACCACGCGCGGGTCTTTCTGGGTTCGTCAGGAATGGCATACATTTTGCAAAAACTGCTGGCATTTTTGAAATAAAAATATTACTCAGCCTCCAGATATATGCATATTTTTGAGAGAGAAGTTCAACTTTTCAACAGAAAATCTCAGGGAGACTAAAAATTATTTTTTCACTACAGCAGTCTTTTAAAAAGTTCAACATATTTTCAGAGGGTATAGGAATTCGATTGCATTCCAACCTCTTCAAGTCGAACTTGAAGGGACCAGTCAACAATTGAGTTTGTGAGGTTTAAAAGTTGATGAGGAAACATGCAATTTTGTTGGGGAAAAGAAAGAAGAATTGCAGGAAATTTTCTTGGGTGATATTCTAGGCATTTAATTGCTTAGTAAATGACTTGACAGAATGATGAACTTGGAGTTAAGAGTTTATTTGCCAAATTAGTCTTTCACTTCCTTCTAAAATGTATCAAGTTACATTCATATGACTATTTCCTCTTTCCAGCGCTAAAAAAACAAAAAAAACTATCAGAAACGCCTCGTGAAAATTCGAATTAAAGAGGTTTTAAGGGAAACCCGTAATTTCTAAGGGAAACCCTGATAGGGAATCGAATACAATTGACAGAGGGGTATTTTACTTAGAAAGGTTCAAGTTTTAGACTGTAGAGGTTCAACTGTACAATATATTTGGAAAATTTTTCTATGCTCATTATATGTCCCAAAAAGTTGACTGTTCAAAAATTGTTCGCTTAAAATTTTCTCTATTCAGGGAAAAAATAAAGATGCATACGAATATTTCCAGACTTCAGGTATACTCGACACTTTTATTTTTTTCTTGCATTCTGGTACAGCAAATTTTGTGAAAATATCCGGGTTCCTACCTCAAATTTTGTTTCCTCACATGCCGAAATTTAAAGAAGCACCACTGGAACAACTTGAAGATTGTTGGAAAAGAAGCCATCTCCTGTTAATTATACTATGTGAATTTCACTGTGTTTATTTCATTTCTGTTTTTATTCTGCAGGTGTCAAGACGTGATCCAAAACCCGCGTCGTTACGGGACACTCATCGAGCGCGGAGAATTACTGGGCCAGCTTCGGGCCAGGGACTGCGACGGGCACCGCCTCATCGCGGGTTCGGCGCCTGTCGCCACGACGCCCGTCGTGTTGTACGTCCGTCGGGACGCCCTTCCGTTGGCTCGCATGGACGCCATTGTGATGCGGGTCCTAGAAACCGGACTATACGTCAAGTGGGAACACGACATCCTGGGTAAAGTGCCCGGGGGTTTGTTTGTGTCAACTGAGCGAATCCTGAGTGGTCGATTGCCAAATCCGACTGAATCATCGCGGAGAAGCAATGATGATGATGAGAGTGGCAATGGAGCGACACCTACCACACTGCGGTTGAAGCATATCAAGGGTCCTGTTATACTTTTGATTGTGGGTTTGAGTTTGGCGCTTGTTACGTTTTTTGGTGAACTTTGCGTTGCTGTGTGGAGGTTCAAAAGATTTTCTTGCCCATTTCTTGGAGAACCACGCTCGGGATTTCAGATTAAATCTCTCTCCAGAAAATCTTAAAGGATCAAGATAAACTGTTGGCCTTATATGATTTCTTGTGAAAGATTCTCTCTAAATTGTTCATTCAACTAAACCTAGATTGTATTTTATTTTATTTTTGTTATCAATTTGTGCTTTGTTTCCTGCTTTGAAGTGATTAAATGTCTTTGAGGGGATTTGTGTTGGGTGGGGAGGGGGTTTGGATGTGGAAATCTTGATTGTACCTTGTGAACGCTGAAAAGCAGCAAATGAAGTGTTTTGTTCATTCATTCATTCTCTCCAGCGAAAACTGTATCAACATCAATCGTCTTCAACTTTAATTATGTTTTTGCATGAAGACGAACTTGAAGCATGTACAAAAAAAAATGACCTACAGTATTATATACTTCTGTCACTGGGGTTCAGTTCTCTTTGTGCATTTTTCAATTTTCCAGGGAATATTTTTTTTCACTGGAAAACCCCTCAAAAATTTGAAGAAATCTCTACCAAAATCGGAGGAAATTATTGAAAAAAAATCAATAAATTGGGTTTATTTACAGCGGTGATTTCTTGACATGAGTCAGATATGTGAAAAAAATCGTAATAAACGGAAAAGCTGATCAGGTTGGATTTCCTGACGATTTTTTTGCAGATCTCGTGCGCAGTTTTGATTCAGCAGCTTCTTTGATCAAGTCTGCAGCCTTTTCAGCGATCATAACAACAGCTGCGTTTGTGTTTCCCGAAATGATTGTTGGCATGATGCTTGCATCCACAATCCGTAATTTGTCGACTCCATAAACCCTGTTGACAAATTAAATTATTCCTTTTATATCATCAGTAAAAGTGAAAGAGCAATGAATACTATTTTATTGGCTTTTATTTGTAATTATGTGTGTCTCCTCATCCGAGTGTTCGAAAAATATTTGCTCTGAGAAAATAAATTGAACTGAAATATGCATATTTTAAATTCATTTCTTACAAATATATTCAAATTTCTTCGCTGAACTTCCGACGACTCAGTTTTGTCAATAAGTGATCAATGAAGAATTTAAAATATAACAAACAGCCAAATCTTGAATAATCATCAGGATATGAAATAGTTTTTATTTTATTTTAGGAAAGTTTCTGCTTGTTCACACGCTAATTTTATAAGCGGAAGTCAGTTTCTTGAAATTAAATTGACTCTCACTTTTCATTACCTTAGTTTGGAGTCGACGACAGCAGTGGAATCGTTTTTTGGTCCCATTTTTGCAGTGCCAACTGGATCGTGCATACTTTGAGCAGCATGGCGCAAAAAACACCGGAAGTAATCATCTGAAAATAATGCCAACTCCTCACACCCGGGGAAGGGCATTTCGTATGGGCTCGAACCCACGCTGGCAAATGCAGCTGTTTGCGACAGGTTGAACATGATCCTGAAAGCTGTTTGGAAAAAAAAAAGACGGAGATTCATTTTTGACTGGAAGAAAAATATTATTCAGCCAATGTGTGACACGATGGGAACACGTTTTCTTGGTTTATTTTTTTTTTAAACTTGCAATCAGCCAAGGAGTTATTTTTTTCATCACCCCTTCCGATGAGAAAATGAGAAACAAAATGAAGGCCAATACATATATTATGCGTCAAATGAATTAAATTAAATCGTAGCAAAATTTTATAGCAAAACATATTTGTTGTCGGTTTGAAGCTAGAATAAGTGATAGAATCGAGGATTATTCGTTTCAAAATTACGCAAGAAACTCTTCTCCAAAATTTCTAGAGAAATATTTTCTAAAATATTGATCCAGATGAAGTTCTTTGTCATTTTTGAAAAAGGCCTCATTTATGTATTTGTTCTTCAACTACAGTACAACATTACAGTACTTGTTTCTCTTCTTGGCCAGCAACAAACCAAAGTTTTCGCGGATTTTTTCTAGATTATAAATTAAATAAGTTATGTTGAAATTTGAGAAAAACTCACAATCCACGAGAATTTCCAAGTCTTTGCTGGAGTTGAAATAGTTGGGAAGAATTATTAAATCAGCTTTGGAATTCCTGGACTTCAGTCTGATTTCTCCTCTGCTTTCTGGCCTCAATAACGTCGAACAAACAGCCCATTGGCGTTTTGATCGAAGTGGAGTGAACCATTTTTTCCAGACCTTTTACAAATAAGAAAATCGAGATAATTCCAGATCACCCGAATTTCGGATATAAATTCAAAATTTCAAATATTCCTGGAAAAATTGAAGAAAGCACCTTATCTTTTTAAGTCCGAATGACAAAAGATTTCGAAAATGTTGGAAAATCGATCCCATATTTGTTTCATAAAACTAAAATTTTTTTTACATCTTTGATAGTTATTTTGTGTAAAAAAAAAAGTGGGAAATTTTTTCAAAGAAAGCTTGCATACCTCTTGTGTGAAACCATAATTTTTTCTAAATATTTCACCCCTGTCACCAACATGAACTCCACCAGGAATGAACTGGAACTGCAAATCTGGAAAGTCTTCCGAGGCATCCGCAAATTTTGAGTTCACGAACGCAATCGCTTCAATTCCAGAAGATGTCATTGAACCTTTTGCACATAAAAATGAGTTTCAATTTAGCACGCATACTATTTTTTTTAACAAGTCTAGCTCTCTCACCTTTTCCGTGATTCAAAAACTTGAAAATCTCTGCTCTCAAGTCCGTTTCATTCGAATTTGAAGAAGAGCCTCTCGCATTTGGAGCCAGAAACGTCATCGCACAAATGCCAATGTGGTCTTGCAGATTTTTCCCCACTGGTGCGTCTCTCACAACTGGAATCTGCGCATGATTTAAAAGCCAAAATATTCATTTTCATATAAAACAGGGCTAAGAATCGCTCGTTTATAAACCTTCATGGCTTCCAAATGATCTGCTGGTCCAATACCAGATCTCAAAAGAATCCCTGGGGTTCCAACAGCACCAGCTGAAATAATGATTTCCCCTTTTGCTCTTGCGCTGAGAGTTGTGCCATTTTTCACGTAAGAGACCCCGATAACTTTGGTTTTTTTGGAATTGAAACGAAGTTTCGTGACGAGAGAATTTAGAGATAATTGAAGATTTTCTTTCCCACTCGCAGGTCCCAGAAATGCTTTGGCAATGCTGAGACGACGTCCATCTCGAATCGTCGACTGAATCAACATGAAACCTGAAAATGAAATTAAATAATAATTGATCTGAATATAAATGAACTCTAAACTAGCGGGGGGATAAACCTGTTTGATTTTCTGCATTGACGTCACGAATTTGATACCCCATTTCAGCAGCAGACGCCATGAAAGACAAGGTCAGAGGAGACTTGAAAGCCGGGTCAGAAACTGTCAAGTATCCGTCTTGGGAATGAAATTTCTCTATACATATGAATTCAATCATAAAAATTCCAATGAAGAATGATGATCACGAGCATTTTACAAGTGTTTGTTTGTCTCACTGTCAGCAGCTTTGAATCTATTCCGGTTGTCCTCGGATTTGAGAAAATAGGGCAAAACGGACTCAAAATCCCAGCCTGTGTTTCCCATTTGTGCCCATTTGTCAAAGTCCTTTTTGTTTCCGCGTGTGTAAATCATATTTCCGAGGGTTGAAGAACCTCCGAGAACCTTTCCTCGAGGCCAACTGCATCTCTAAAAAAAAATGAAGCAAAATAATCGTAAACAGTTCGCCTAAAAGAAGGAAACAAATCTGACCTTTTTACTCATAGCAAGACAGAAACCATCGCCAGGTTCAGACTTTGTTTTCCAATCAAAGTCTGATCTCTGGAGAAAACTGGTCAAGGCTGGAATTTCTGCCAAGGGTTCTTCGACCTCATTTGACCCCGCTTCAAGAAGCAACACACGAACATCGGGATCTTCTGACAGTCTCGAAGCTAATACTGATCCACCAGAACCCCCACCAACTAAATATGAAAATATAAATTAAAAAGCCCGTTTTATGAATTTATCTGAAATTTTCATGGAATTAATTTTGATTCATCATGAATTCAAGAGCTGAATTTGGTTTTAAAGCGCTTTCTGAAAGCTTTGAAATTAAGACGAAAGACATCCTTCTCAAATTTCAATATCGATGACATTCACGGGAAACAATATCGCAACCAATACATTTTAAATTTATATTTGTTCAAAATGAAAGCAATCTTAATAAAATGATCAGAAGTGAACGAATAAAATTTTGGATTCTTAAATCTTATTTCGGCCCTAGTTTCGTTGAAATAACGAGTTTTGACATTTTGAAAAAAATTAATCCACACTCTTCACTTTCAGATTTTGAAAAAAAAACTTGCCGATGATGTAGTCGTATTCAGGAAGCACTTGTACTGTGTCTTGAATTGGGGGAAAAACAAGATGCCTCACAGATAAAAGCGTGGACACCAAAAATGGAATTATGGTGCTTAAAGCCACTTGCTGTGCGGTTGGCAACCCCGACAACCACAGCTCTGCCACTGACACCATACTTCTTAAAAATCACCACCTGTGCTGAAATTTGAAAAAAACATATTCACCGAGGACCTTACAAAGTCTTGATTGCATATTTATTCGATACTTCGAAAAAATGGAGCGAACATTTTCCAACTCACTGAAGCAGGAGAAATCCGAGGTTTGACTGGAGTTGTGGCAAGGTTTCCAAACATAGCTGAAAACAATGAATGACATTTAACAAGGGGTCCTTGAGTGATGCGAAGGCATTCCTGAAAAGTTGATGGAGCTCAATCAAAAGAAACGCTCGTTAGAAAAATAGCTCCATAGCTCGAAACGATTCGTGTTTAAAAGGCTTTCTGCATGAGCGAAAATTATGCCATCTGGTTCGAATCATGGAAAATTATTCTTCCATGATAGACACAATTATCAGCTTAATGAATCATGCTTTCCTTTGTCTCATTATTTTTTTGTGTGTTTGAAACATACACTTGTTTTCAATTTTGTGTTCCCGCGCTGTTCTGCAATACGAGGTTTTGAAACGCGTTCAACAAATGTTCCTACAGAACTTGCCCAAGTATCAATAATTTAAGTTATAATAATGAAAGATAAGAAAAATTGATTCCGAAATTCGGAATGCCATGAGCTCTTATGTTGGATTAACCAGGTTGCAGATCATGCTGCTGTACAGGAACACTGGAATTTTGTTTCGGGATCAGTAGCAGCGACATCTAGATACTAAAACTAAAACAATGATGTTACTGTTGGCTAGAAGTCGGCTCCTATAAACACATGCATTTTTTGACTGACGGTCCAACTGTTATTGTGCAGCAAGGTGTCATTTCATTTATGCAACAATTCTGAGTGAGTGCAAAAGGCTCAGAATTTCCAAAATTCCGTATAATTGGAGTGTAGAATAAAAAAAATAAAATAGACGTCACAACAAATTTTCTGGTTTATTAGCTTGAATTATTGAAGTATTCGTCTGAAATTGGCAGAAATGTATTATGTATATAAAAATTACTCCTCCTCAAAAACGTGGTCTTCCTTTTCAGAACTTGAGGTAGATAAATCCATCAGCTTTAATTGTAACTAACCTAACTTTAACGAATGTCAAAATTATTAATTAATTGTTAAAAATCGAATAAGACCACCACGATGTTATTGCGAATAATTTGACACGCAGAAGAAAGATTGCAGATAGAAGAAAAATAATTGATCAAGCTGTACGTACTAATTAAACGAGAATTCTATATAATCCCCTTGAAAAATCTGTTTGTCTGATACAGTATCATTTGACTTGGGAATGAAATTTTCGGATGAAATCCGGATTCCACTTTTTTCATTTATTGAATTTTTCATGGCACCATGGCACCATGAATCATGGTACCATGAAATCAAGTAATGCAAGATTGAGACGAGATGATTAAACAATGAAAATGTTTTACCTAGAAAGTCGCAAAAAAAACCTCCGTCAAACTGTGAGGGAAAAAGGTCAGAGACAAAAAATTAAATTTTCTTGATATTGTCGAGCATTCAATTTTGCAGACATTCACGTGTGTTCGACGTGGGATTACATGCATTATGCGTTTGAAAAGATGGAATTGAGGAAGTACCTCATTTAAGTGGCCTTCATGCATCTACATAATAAATTCAACCACTCCTCCGAAGTGAACTTCAATCTTCGGCATTTATTTCTCTCCCGCTCGCTTATCAATATAAAGGTTAGTCTCAAAGTTTTTCTGCATTTCATTATCAATCAGATCATGACTAAAAATATTTCCAAGGCATGCTACCTTGATGCTGGAAATTTATTAGAATTATTTTCGTAGTATGCATAACAAAACAAACAAAAAACGCAGAGAAAACCAAAGAGAAATGGTTGAAAAATGGGTGCGCGGAAATTTGACTGACTTCTTAAATTCTGCCACCATATATTTCTATTTTCCGGTCAGGCTCTCGAAAAAGTGGCAGAAGTATGTTGAAAAATGCTTTGACTGACGTTAAATTTTTTTTTAATTCGAAAAACTTCGCATGTCAATTTGAAACAACATGTGTTCGGGCCAAAACCACGAACGAAAGCACAATAAGAAAATATTTTTTTGAATCGTTTAAATTCAATGTTCGTTTAACGGTCATATATGAATTCACCTAATTGAAACCATAAACAAGTGTATCGTTTGAAATGTGATTCAATAAGCTTCAAGTCTATGTTTTATGTCAGGATTAAACCACGCAAAATTGTCAGAAGGTACTTCAACACAAAATGTCTTTTTTTGCCCGACATTGTAATGCAGTCTACAAACATTATTCTAGGCAGTTCACTATAAGCTTTGGTGTCGTGGACGCTTTTTATTTTCTGCTTCCGAGGATACACAAGCATTGAGCTCTATTTCTGCGACGATTATTAAAGTGATGGTCTACGGTACGTATATATTTATTATATTTGCATAAGCTGGGCGAATCACGTGTAAACTATGACAAATTTTTCGACAGGGGTTTTTGGGTTCAATATAATTTCAAAAATTAAATAGCATTTTTTTACTGCGAGGAAACACCGCGGATTTTTTACACTTTTCGCAAGTGATATTCAAATTTTTTTCCAGAACGCTTGGTCCACAGAAGACTTCTGCAAATTCTAATTCATGTTTTTTTTCATTATAATATATGCACTCTCAGGCTAATTTTAAAATTATAATAATTTTCTCAGCTGAGCAGTAAAAGTCAGAAAATGTTGCGATTCACAAATTCTTGCTTCGGCAAATTTTTTGTTGAACAAAAGAAAACATTTATATACATTTAGAATTCATCATCATCAGGTGAAGAAACTTGTAGGTTGGTCCAAAATATATGCTGGGAAAACGGTGGGAGTCGGAATCGTGTGAACGAACTCGGGATAGGACGTGCTAACCCAGCCTTGGGTGATGTAAAACAAGAAGGGTACATGGCATAAAGAGCCTGAAACCGAACCCGGGCTCTTTATAGTGAGATTCCTCAGCACAAACCCGAGGTTTAATGTTGGAAAAGGCCTTGACTGGTGTGCACGAGTTCCTCGGCCCCAGGGCGGGTATAGGCCAAGGAATAATAAAGGAACGAACGAACCCGTCAGTGCAGTATTGTCGGGAAAGGTTTTGCGAGTCGCAGCACATAATCCGCGAGACTTGTTTTAAACCTGTGTCTTTTTCCATGCTAGTAAAAATTTTTAATGATTTTTAATGCTGTATACCGCAGTACTCGTGTTTCTCGTCAGTCAACGATTTTACAGTCTCGTATATTGCGTGCCTTTCCAATTAAACGCGTGTCTCATTTTGATTGATTTGGCGAATAACTCCGAAGTGGCGAAATTACTTNGTTTTAAACCTGTGTCTTTTTCCATGCTAGTAAAAATTTTTAATGATTTTTAATGCTGTATACCGCAGTACTCGTGTTTCTCGTCAGTCAACGATTTTACAGTCTCGTATATTGCGTGCCTTTCCAATTAAACGCGTGTCTCATTTTGATTGATTTGGCGAATAACTCCGAAGTGGCGAAATTACTTGACATTTTTGGGGATGACTTTTTGTGATTACTGAGATACTTTTTTTTTTTTAGATCTGATCCATTTCATGTCTGTCATACATTTTAATAAATATTGATGAATTTTTCCGAAACCACGAATATTTTTCTCGCCGACACGGATCAAAATGGTTGCAAGTCTGTGTGTTACAGCTAGAAATTTAAAGTATATTCAAATACAACATAGGAATAAACATCACCTCATCGAAGTCGTGTGAATATAATTTCGAATGTATTTGTGGGCAATCTCTCAAAAAACGAATAAAATTGGTGATGAATTCTGGTCCTGCTGATGATGCCACTGAAATTCTGAACATGTTTTAAAAAGCAATTTGAACTCCTAGTTTCTTTAATAACTCGTCCTAATTTCATACATTTTAATAATGCAAAATTATCCCACTCATCAGGTCAAATTATTCTTCCTTTAACAGAAGTAATATAATATTTCTTCTCGTCCTTCGAGGAGTGTTTTTACTGTGTTCTTTGATGAAATGGCAATCAGTGAAAAAGTAGAAAATGAAGAGTTGCCAGTTACCGTGGAAACCAATGGATGTGTCGACCACCAACCCTTGAAAGATGTGAATGATTCGAAAATAGGTAAATATTTGCTTCTTACATGTTTGAATTCCTTGTAAATCCCAGACTTCTGCTGGGAAAGATTTATTTAATCAAATCAGAACAATTATTCCGGAGAATGGAGCTGGGAGAATATATTGTTCATGTTATATGTGTGCTTCGTCCTTGGGTAATTCATTTTTTGCAAAAATGATTTTTGAAAATAGGAATCATCTCAGTGAGATGGACGGCTGTGATTGTGACGTTTGTTGGGTTCACGGCGTCGATTGCGTTGCAATCCACGACCAACATAGCTTTGGTGGCAATGGTCAACTTTACAGCTGTCAGAGAGCTTGGACATGAAAGGCAGCTGAACTCAACCGAAAGCTTTTCAAATGAAGTGAAGGAAATGGAAAACGAAAGCCAAACATTGGCATTCAACGATGAGAGATGCTTCGAGGATGACATTTTCGAAGAAGAGATTGTGCCAGGTTCAGAAAATGCGTCTCATCCGATTTGGAAGGTATTTTGATTGCATGTGATGATTTATGGTTGCAGATTATCTTGCAAAATGCTAATCAAGTGCCAATCTATAGAGCATAATTTTTTAAGCTGTTAAGAGTTGCGTAGCTTAGGGTAGGATTATTTTTTTAGTTTTTATTGGAAAAGATCATGAATTAGATAATGGAGCATGATATTAAGGAGAGCCATTTCATTGTTTTTCACTTTCAAAAATTGTACCTATGTTTGTGCTTGCGTTTCTTACTTAGTTTTTGCATCTTTCTGTTAATAATTCGTGCATTTGTATTTTTCATTTTTTCTTTCCCACTTTGAGATTCATTACGTTGTGTTTGTTACCCCAGTTTATCATGCTTTTGCATGAGGTGTATATTGTACGTAGATAAATTAATTTATAATATACAGTGCAGTTTCCTTTTCATAAATAATTTACATAAATAATTAAGAACAATCGTTCTTTCATAAAATTTGCTGAGAATTTCTTTAAAAAATTGAATTGTATTTTCCTTAGGCATTGAGTGTGACGTAATTTTAATTTTTACGAACCGTTGATGATTAATTATTTATCCAAAGATGTGTTTTAATGACCACATTTTATTGAACTACGAAAATATTTCCCAGAAATTAAAATTTGTGTGAAAAATATTCTCAATGCATTAATTGGTATATTCGTTTGGTTGGCACTTGATCGTCATTTATTTATACTTTTGATGTAATGGGTACAACTTGTTTGTTCATTTTCTTTTCGAGGGAAATATTTGATGATCTTGGATATGAATCGGAAATTGATGGGAGATTGAAGGCAATTTTTAAAATGTGTTTTTCTTTTCAATTTTTAGCGTGAAGACGGTCCTTTTGTGTGGGATGAAACGACGAGGCCAAAACGAGTGTTTCTCGGCGTCCTTGTGTCGGCGTCACTCGTCACTTCCCTTGTTCCGGTTTTCGCCAATTTCGGCAAGACCTGGATCATCGCAATCCGGTTTTGCCAGGGCGTCATATACGTGAGTGCGACTTTTGATTCATAGATTCCAAACCCTTTTTTAAAACGCGAATTCAGTATTAATTTTTTTGGTGAATTATTGTGTTTTTGAAATTTTAATCTTAGAAAAGTTGGGCTGGAAAATACTTCTAAATAACACGGTAAATCACGTTTTCGAGAAAAAGGTTTTTATTGCTCTCATATTTAAAGTACCTTTATATGTTTCATGGTTGATATGAAAATGTTGGAGGATAACTTTTTTAAAAATACAATAAATATGCATGATGCACTTTGTTATTCATGGAAACATCATTTTTGTCTGCCTCTTTTCCGTCCATTTCATCAAGTAAAAAATTCGTGATAATGGGATTCTACCCAAAAATCTTTCACACACCATTTTATTTTTTCTGTTTCCTTAGAAGAGTCTCAGGATTCCTCCGTTTTTCAAATTTCCCGCTATTTTTTGCAATGCAATTTTTTGGCATATGCTCGCTGAACACAATTTCCTCGGAGAAAAATTCCTTGTCTCGAAAAGATCTCTTATCTTTTCGTGGTTGTAATATTTCTAGAGACATGATTTTAAGTGCAACGATAATGCATTCAATTTTGAAATATTTTTTCATAGAGAGTATGAGCACTGTTGTATCTTGATTTTCAGCAAATAGTACCTCGGTTTTTTAAAACTTGAATCGGTGTTTAATTTATTTGATTTTTTCTAGGGACCTTCCTTTCCCGTTCTGAATGTGGTAGTTTCCCGGTGGGCAATTCACCATGAAAGAAGTCGAATGGCTGCTGTTTTGTATTCAGGTTAGCAGCTGTTTTCTAAAATAAAATCCTTTTGGTTTGATTTCATTTTTTTAGGTCATCGGAGATTCATTCATGGCGAATGTCAATTGAAAAAATCGCAACAATGCGATTCCATGTGAGAAAATACCCTGGACGCATTTCCTCTGCAAACTATATTAAAGTTGAAGAATAATGAAAGGCTCTTGCCTGTTGGTGATCTGAAATATGATGGATATTGCCAACCATTTTCAGAATTTTTTGCTTGTGCAAATTCAGGTGGAATGACAGGAATGCTGATTGTGAATTACGTCGGAGGAGTGATTCTACCCAAGTTTGGATACGCCGCTTTGTTCCACATGATGAGTGGCATCAATGCTGTTTGGGCAATCGTTTTTTGGCTGGTCTTTCACGACAGCCCGAAATCCCATCCCAAAATTTCTGGAGAGGAATTGGCTCTTTTCCCAGTGATGGGATCTGCTCAGAAACACCAGGTACTGTATTACATTTTTGCGACTGTTAAATTTCAAAACACAGTTTATACGCGTTGATCGTGTGCGTGATTTTGAATGAATCAGGTGAAAACGATTCCTTGGAGCGGCATCTTGAGATCTCCGGGGGTTTGGTCAGTCATAATATGCAGTTTCATAAAAGGTAGTGGGATGTCGCTCCTTTTCATGATGCCCATCTACTTGAAAGCTGTGCAAGGATTCGACATTCAATCCGTAAGGGATTTCTTTTTTCTGAGTCGAAAAATAAATGCATGGACTGTTTTTCTTTTAGAGTGGAACATTTTCTGCTGTTCCATATATTGTTCGGGTTGTGTTTTCCTTGGTGTTCAGCGTCTTCATCGACTGGACAATCAAGAAGCAGTTTCTTTCGAAATGTGTCATCAGGAAACTTGCTACTGGTCTCGGTATAAATTCAACATATGAATGGTATTAAATGTTTTCTTTGAGATTTGCAAAATTTTAATTTTTAGATTGCTTTGGATCAGCACTTTGCTTGATGATGGTGTCACAAGTGGGCTGTGATTGGCCTTTGGTGGTTCTGGCCTTGACGATTTTTGCTACTCTTGGAGGAGCTTCTTATTCCGGTTTCAGTGCAGCCATGATGGACATGACTCCTCATTTCTGTGGTACTGTAAATGAAAACCCTTTTCTGATTAATTTAATGAGAAATTGATTGATTTTTCTCATGCTGAGAATATAATTTTTCAAGGTACACTCGGAGGACTGGCGTCGATGGGTTACACACTCGGTGGAATGTTGACCCCAGTTGCTGTTGGCCTGGTTTTGCAAGGAAAAGTGAGCCAATTTAATTGCGTTTTGCCGATTTAGTTTTCGTTATTGTCTAAAAATTTGTTTTTAAAGCAAAACTTGAGCAGTTGGGCGATAATTTACCAATTCGGAGCAGCTCTTCATGTCGTCAGTGGGTTTTGCTTTTGGATTCTCGGGACGACGAAACGACAAGATTTCGACCCGGAAATCCGCGAAGAAACGACTGCTGATGAGGATGAACTGAAGAATTTGAAAGCGGAAGTAGAATAATGAGTTTGAAATTTAATTTTTTTTCATTCCGATTCCAGCAGTGCTGAACTCATGAGTGCATTCGTAAATGATAACAACACGTACACGCTGTGGTTTGGTTCGGCGAAGATATTTGCTGAAAATTGTTGTCATTCCTGAATAATTCATTTCCGGATGTATTTCTTGATGTGCATTATTTTGCGTCGGCATGCTGATGAACTTTTGCAATGATGAGGATTGTGCAATGCAAGCTTGATGAAGTCGGATTTCCGGGTTTATCTTTGGTTGAAATCGAGTTCCAGCAAAAATCGCAAACGGACTTGAGCTTCGCTGTAGACCAAGTATTCACTTTTGTCGAAATGCCCAGTGAATGGGGTCCTGATGGGTTCCCCTTGTGGCACAACCACCTTCTTCCCGTCAAAGTCCAACACAATGTCTTTATTTGGGTCTGTAAAAAGATGATATTGGATTTTTTGTTAAGAAATTGAAATTTTGATTGAAAAAGTAGGCAGTGCAAATTTTCACATGTCTGACCTGGTTCTCCAGATCCTCGAGCCACAACTGAGTCGTACCCAACTGGTGGTTTAGTGAGGGAAGGGTCATCTTTCGTGATGTTTTTTTCCTTGCCGAGGGCGACTTCTGCCAAAAACATGATACCAATGTTTTTCTGCTGCAACTTGGCTGAATTTGCTGCCACACCCCATCCCCAACCTCCAGATGGCCCAACTGACGCAAAAAAAAAGTTCATAACAATTTTCAACATAGATCAGTGTTGTTGCAAAATTTTTGCAGGCTAGCAAACGCTGGTCCGAGTTTTTATGATTTTGCCAAATTCGATAAATGCTTTATAAATATTTTTATTAAAACAAAATACCCACAAGAATAATTCAATACTGTTTTATAATATTTTTATGAATTTGATACTTGTAAGGTTTTATTTATGGAATGGTTTTATCAAGCCTTACACCTTGAATATCTTATTGAATTTACAGCAGAGTCTCAGGAGATAAAATTTGGATCGATTGAATAAAACACAATAATTGGTCGGGCAATTTGCTGCCACACCCCATCCCCAACCTCCAGATGGCCCAACTGACGCAAAAAAAAAGTTCATAACAATTTTCAACATAGATCAGTGTTGTTGCAAAATTTTTGCAGGCTAGCAAACGCTGGTCCGATTTTTTATGATTTTTGCCAAATTCGATAAATGCTTTATAAATATTTTTATCAAAGCAAAACAGTCAAAAGAAAAATTGAATATGTATTTTGTAATATTTTTCTGAATTTTATACTCACCATAACCAGCACTTTTTTCGTTTTCAGACGCAAAATATATTCCTCTGCCAACTCTTCCTCCCGAGTGCGGCATAATTCGCAGTCCTCCTTGCAAAATTGCAGCAACTACAGCAACTTTTGTTCCATGCCAAAGAAGCTTTCTGTAAGCAATGCTGTCGCTTCTCATGAATCTCGTCACTTCTCCCTTTCTGAAAGCAAAACACGCAATTTCTGGAATAAATTTAAAATACTTGTTGAAAATGTTAACGTAGAGAGGAGTCGAATGTGCGATTTTTCAGCGCTAAAATCGCAAGGTTTGTGCAGATGTTGGTATTATTACGTCATCTGTCGCTGACAAAAGTAAACGTCAAAATATACAGGCGTCAAAAAATGTTGCAAATTTTGAAAAAAATAAAGGTTCAAAAATCTTCACCTTGTCATTTCGTAGATATTGACGATTGGAATCTTCCAAATTTTGTTCGTAGCTTCTTTGTAACACTTGATGATTTCATAAACCTTTTCAGTTGGATCAATTCGGCGCAAATCACAATCCAACTTCTTATACTTCACATCAAGCGGATGAGGTGGCAAATCTGCACTGCTTTTGCTCTGCTTTCAAAAATGATAAATATAAATAAACGGCATAAGAATGCAATCTGAGGAATTGTGAAACGGAAAAAAATATCAGGTCGTGTCGGAGAAACAGATTTTTGAAAGAGCTAAATTTCACAGGAACAAAATCCATTTCGGGTAAATTTTTTTGTACTAGCGGAAGTTTAAATTCAGACGAATTTTTGACAGGAAGTTCGAATTGCAATGAAGAAGTTTTTTTTTAACGATGAAAAATTACGAACCTTTTCCGCCTCTTGCTCTTTCTCAATGGATTGTGCAATTTCAATATCTGAAAGCACAATCAACATGTCCTTCTTTGCTTGCACCTTTTCCTCAGTCTCGATGGTTTCAGGTCGAGATCGTTTGAAATCATGCGGGATCAGGGTGTAGAATTTCGACGAAAGCTCTTGGTAAACTTTTGTTCCCTGTTTTCGAACAGTGTGAAAATTAAAATCATATTTTTTTACGTGATTGAAATGAAAAAAATACGACACCTTCTTCGCCTTGATGGCGTTTTCAAGTTCAACGAGGGCGTCGAAACCTTTTGCAATTTGCTGCTTGCTCAGTTTCCCCAGTGGCATTTTCTTGACATCTGTAAAAACGTTTATGATATCAATTATATACTCATTTTGGCAGCAGTTGATTTCAGAAAAAACTTGCCGATGTTCAAGTCCTTCATAGTGTTTGCAAACATGTCAGTGTCGAATATCAATTCCATAAGTTCCTTCACGTGAGGATCCAACGAACACGGTTTTGTTTTTGCTCCATTCGACGATTTTTCAACTTTTGAAGAATCCGGTTCGTCTTCGTCTTCATCTTTCCACGTGGAAGGAAAAAAAAAATTGCGAATTCGAGATTTTGAGAAGGGGCAAAGGAAATTTTATTGCTTACCTCCCATATCCAATAATGTGTATTTTTTATCGATGGGGACAAAGTTGTCTCGGTTGCCCCAGTGATTTCCAGTTTTATCCTTGAATTTCTTTTCGAAATCTGCGATGGCTCCATTCAGATTCGAGCCGAAAGATTTCAAGGAAACAGCTCCTGGCTCACCCTGAAAATTTTGGGAGATTTCATTTTTAAAACTTGAAATGTAACATAATCTTTGAAGAGCATGTCAGGGAAAAGTGGGTATTTTTTCTCCGTGGTTCTTCTCGCCACCATTCGTCGAAGCGGAAAGTTTTTGAAGCGAGTTGAGACGTCTGAAGATTTCCAATTAAAATTTGGAATATTCCAAATGTTATTTTTCAACATCAGGATAATAAAAGAGGTGAAATAATCACCACTCGTCCCCAACGATTCCAAGTCCAGTACATTCCACCGGATTTTCCTCGAAGCAACTGAACGACGTAGTATTTATTATTGTTCTGTCCGATGTTCGTTTGGTTCAACATGCAATCGTAATCTTCATACACCTGAATAAGAAGGGAAGAAATGATTTTTGGAAATATATCATTGAAAACCAGTGTTGATTATGCATATAATACGTCAACATGGTTGTTGATTGAACACTTTTCGTCGACTTTGAAGCTCTTGCGTTTTTGTGGTCCCTGGGATTTCAGGGCTTCGAAAGCAGTTTGAACGCTGTCCTGGGCTTTGGGTTCTTCTTCGGTTTTCTTTCTGCGTTTAGATTTTTGCGGGGAACTCGCTGCTTTTCTGGATGTTGAGAAATAAATTATCTTTTTTTCTTCAAAATCCTCGAAATAAATATACAGTACTAGCAAATATTCCACTCACGAAGAGTCGAGGAGGCGTTTTACGAGGTCGGCTTTTTTGCCCTTTGAGTCCAGGCCGAGATTTTCGCAGCATTTCTTCAGTTCTGGCAATTTCATGGATTCGTAATCGACAGGTTCATCTTCTTCTTTTTCTTCTGTGACTTTAGATCGTGCGGGACGCTTTTTATTTTGCTTTGGTGCAGCAGGAGCAGGTGTCAGGGTGTTTCGTCGCGTTTGCCTCATTTTTATTTTTAAAATGAGGAATGAATTCCACACGGTATTCGTGTATAAGGGAAACCTTGATCAAACGACAGAAATTGGTAATGGGAAACATTTTTGAATTAAAAATTATTCACTTCCGGAATACAGACAAATTACTCAATATTGACGAATTTTGCACCTATAGAAACGTTTCGGTTATTGTGACAGATATTTATTCCGGCGGAAACCTTGTTCAAAATTCACAAATTTGGGCTTCCATATCCGTTCACATTTTAATTGGCACACTCAAGCACAATTTTCCAGCGAAATTTCTTCACTATTGAGTTCTTCGGAGATTTTAAATCGTGAATAAATTTGAAACGATGATAAAGTGGATATGGCATCATTATTTAATCCAAGCGAATAAATTCTTCAAATTTTACAGACGTGAACTTCTTTTCGTACACTTTTTTAAATTTTCAAACTCGAGCAAAGTTTTAAAGGGCAATATTCTGAATAGAAAACTTCCCTATATACAGAGGTTATAAATGGCGAATTTAAAAGTTTAAAACGGTTGCGGATGTGGCCTGAATTAATACTTATTGCCACGAAAACTTTATTCAAATTTTGCATACGTGAGCTTCTTTTCGTTCAATTTTTTAAACTTACACTATTTTCCAGGGAAAATGCTTTTGATTTTTGCAATAATTTTGTAGGCGGATTCTTCAGATATGTCAGGAATGGTGACCTATTATAGGCATTGATTCACACATTCACTATTTTTGCTTGTCAAAGTCGAGCACTGTTTTCTAAGAAAAAATAATGAATATTCTTCACTTTCGGACCCTCGTCAAATTTGCCCACGTTCAGGTAAAAAGGTGAATTCGACAACGGCAAAAATGTTGACCTCGTTTAATGTCGACGTGTTATTCCACTGGCTTTTGTCATCGACATGCGCCTTGTGACTCAACTGAAGTGCGTTTCATCGACCCGCTATCAAAGAAACGTTCGTTCCTGTTGTGGATTCCGTGTGTCGCTCAAATCCTACGCCCTTTTCTGGGTGCGGGTTTTCACGTGGGTGAATGTGAACGAGGGCTGCTCAAAGTTGCTGCATTTCTCGAACAAAATTAAAAAAAAAAAAAAAAAAAAAAACAAGGACTGCGATTTCAGTTTTTTATTAGCTTGCTTCGGTACAGTCGAATCTCGTCAGTCGTGGTGGGATGCTGAGTAAACTCAGCATTTTTTTTAATTGAATTTATTGTAAACAGCACCCGTCAGTCTCGAGTGGAAGCCATTTCATTATGATTTATATGAGAGAACGAATATGAATAAAGCTTCTGCACGAACTTGACTTTAATCAGGGAAACTGTAATTATTTCCACCCAGAACATTTCGGATATTCGAAAAATCCTCAATAAACAGTATTTTTGTTTGAACCCAAGACCGCGTCAGTAACAACAATAATAATCAGCAATTCAAATAGCGCATCTGAAGAACATATATCGTCATATTCCATAGAATTTTTGTCGAATTTTTTGTTTCCTCCAGAAATATTGCAGCAATATTAAAATAGAGCATGAAAATATTCTTTGAGCAAGTTTCATAATATACATTTAACTTCAGCCCGAATAAATAGCTTTTTTCAGAATGCACGCTTATTCGCATAAGAAAAATTGTGTAAGATTTTTTGTGGCTATTGGGTTTTCTTCGTTTTCAAAATTGAATCGAGTATATTCGTCGAATGCCCCTGCGAGTTATCTGGAAAAGAATTCAGATAGCACAGAATACGGCAGTATATATATGACTGCTTCACTTATCTTTACATTTTTTTGTGCGGTCCGAGTGTTCTTGAGTTTTCAGTTTATTACCGTCGAATCTCTTCAAGTTAACTTTAATAAAGAACCAGCCTCAAAAACTATGAGTTAGGGTTTCGAGTTGGGAGAAAAAAGCATTTTTCTTGTCGGGGCGAAAAAGAAGAATTACAGAAAATTGTAATTAGTGATTGTCAAGGCATCGAATTGCTTCTTATTAAATGAGTTGACAGGATGCTGGTGAACCCCTATTCTTAAATGAACGGATTAACCGGTTAGTGAAGGAAAGTTTTGTATAGCATAATAAAAAAAAGACACAGTTATTTTATTTTTGGTTTTAGGGTGGTCCTTTAGGCTCAAGACCTCCTTTGAGGACGTGGAAAGCCTTCGGTAGTTTTTTTTTCAATACATTGTTTCTAAGGGAATTCAGAAAGTGACTTGAAAAAATTTGGAAAATCAAGATGGATAATGGAATACTTTTGATATCGCGTACGTTAATTTATAAATTCGCTTGCCGATATTTCGAAAAAAAGTTATTCCATTCAATTCGTCCTTGTTCTAAGTCGAATTTCAGCATATTATTATTGGCAAAATTAAAAAACATTCAATTTCGGATTCCGGTTTCGAATGAATGCTTTTCACAAAATCGGATTGATTCACATTATTCACGATATCTAAAACAGACCTGTGAACTGTGGAATAAATTTAATGTAGGTACTCAGCTCACAATTTTGAGCGGTTTCGTTCAGACATTGAAAGGCAATACCTTTTTTTTTAATTTGAAGATCACATTTCATACTTTAAAAAACAGGGTGCTCTTTCAAGCCTCAATGATAGCAATAAAACAGAATAATTAAAGAAGTGCACGATCAAAAAATCAGCCTGCGGAAAGTTTTCTTTTATTATTCCCAGATTCGGATAATTTCGGCACACATCATGAAGTCAGAGTTTGAAGTAAGAAAGCTGGCCTATAAGAGTGACTCCTCTTTTCTAAAATTCTTCTGTTTCTTCAACTTCTTCACTTATTCACTTGCTGTTGCAAATTGGTCCTGGGGGCTTCGGGGAAAATGGCCTCGGCAACTTTATTATTGGTGGCTTTGGCCTCGGGAATTGGACACAACCTCCGGGTCCAAACTTGCTTTCCTTGCGTGAATCATTCATTTTTGAGGAATTTTTTTTTTCCTGAAATAAATCAACATACCATGTTTATAATCTCTCACATCACTTCTCAATTTTACAGCTTAGTTAACACTTTATAGAATAATACTTACGAACTTGACTTTTCAAGAAATTGTCACTTATTGTTCTCAACTCTGATGACGAAGAAGCTGTTTGAGAGAGTCTGATGAAGAGTCTGTTGAAACGCGGATGTTTTATACAAGTTCCTGATGCAACAAGAACATGAAATGACACATCATGGTTGTTTAAGGGTTGATGCAATCCTCAATTTTGTCACTTTGTATTGAAATTGCATCATCGTGTCTCAATACGGAAGCATGACGATCACTGCATCTTCTCATCATCGAGGGATGATTGATATCCCGAATTGTTGATGAGCTTCTTATGGAACGCAATCATTGAGTAAAAAGTAAAGATTTTGAGAAATATCGATTTCTCTTCATGAAATGGATTCACGAGAGCGACGAATTGGTGACAATTATTTGAAGAAGAAAAAAGTATCACGGGCATAAAATTCCCTCCCATTCTGAATATATTTTAATCTGACGAAATTTAGTCCCTGTGCATAGTAATATTATTTTATAGTCTGAGTAACTTGAGAACTGGAGCCGACCAGCTCATATTATTCCATGAGTGCCACCTTTTGTTCTGAGAAGACGTAAATTATCTTAGACGTTGGAAATATTAATTTCTCTTTTCTTGTAGGAATTTTAAATCAGGCATAAATATGGGTCGAAGCGGCTGTATATACTTCCAGCAAATTAATAATTCACACGCATTGAACCCATCATATATCATCACATGGGTGACGGTCACCCGTTTTGACGAGTCGGGATTTCTTTCTGGCATGAAGTATATGCTCCAATTTAATTCCCCTTCCCTGGTCTGGTTTGACAAGTGATACGTTTTCTTGACAGAGGGGAGACGATTCATTTTATCAAAAGATTCTGCATTAGATTCTGTACAGCTTGAAAATGCCATGCATAGATTTAATGCTCTTATACAGTACCTAATTGTTTCATTTGTATGAGATCCAGTATATTTGTCAGTGGGACCCCGACATACGGACGCCCTGACATCTGAACGATTCGACTCAGAGGCACCGATAACTTTGAAAAAATCTGCCCTGGAATGAGAGCAATACATGTTTCGAGATACGGAAACGTTTCCAAGATTTTTAGAACAATACAAATTGTATTTTTCTGAACATTGACATCTCAAACCAATTCAGCCATTTATACTCACAAAAATTATGAATGAATTCCATCGTGAAACTACCACATGTCAAAATAATAAAAAAAACAGGCTGATTTTGTGCTTCTTTTTTCAGAGTTTTTATTCATCATGTGTGCACAGCACAGAATAGCTAGAAATGTTCTTGTATTTTTGGTCCTTATTGAGCGCTTTCTGATGCCAAAAGATAAGATTAAAACATGTCTGGTTTCCTTTTGAACAGGTACCCTCCGTGTCTTGAAGTTGAGAAAAACTTGAATCAACGTTTTTCAACTTTATTCCTAATTTTAGATGACCAGGAAACCCAATTGAAAGTGAGACCCCAAGATGCGGACATAATTGGTGCATCAAGAGT